CAACACGGCGGTAAGAGATATGGGGAGACCAAGACAAACGAGTGTCAAGGAATAACCCCAAAAGCTTCGCGGAATCTTTGTATTCAAGGGGATGACCATAAAGTGACAAAGAGGGACGAAGAACGACCCGTTTCCGCGTAAAAGTCATGGCACAAGTCTCAGAAGTAGAGAACTTGAAGCCATGACCTGTGGCCCAAGACGACACGGCATCAATTGCAAGTTGAAGCCGGCGTTGAAGGAGAGGCGAATCATCACCCTGACAACAAAGGGTAAGATCGCCATAGAGAGCGGAGAAGACACCAGAAGGAAGAGAGGAAAGAAGACCATTGAGGGCAACCAGAAAAATAGTGCTCAGAACACTACCCTGGGGCACACCTTCGTATTGCTGAAAAGAGGGAGAGAGAGCGGTACCAAGGCGCACCCGAAAGGAACGACGAGAGAGGAAGCCGCAGAGAAAGAGGGAGATGACCACGAAGGCCAAAAGAATGAAGTTGAGATAGGATATGATAACGCCAAGTGGTGTCTTAAGCCTTTTCTAGGTCAAAAAGGACGGCAACAACGGAGGTCTTCGCAGCAAAAGCAGTACGAATATAGACCTCCAAGTTCACCAGGACATCTGTCGTGCTGCGGCACTTGCGGAAACCAAATTGAGAAGGGGAGAGGAGGTGATGGTGTTCCAGGAACCACATCAGACGAACGTTAACCATACGTTCAAAGAGTTTGCAGACAACTTGTGAGAGCAATAGGGCGAAAGTCCTTAGGGGAAGTACCCAGAGACCCCGGTTTGCGAACAGGGAGGACAACGGCATCGAGCCAGTCCTCAGGGACTGACGACGACTCCCAGATCCGATTATACAGACTCAGTAAATACTGAGACGTGCTCGGAGGGAGATGGCGAAGCATCTCATAATGAATACCATCGGAGCCCGCCGCCATAGAACCGCAGAGGGCCAGGGCAGAACGAAGTTCAGAGAGAGAAAGGGATCATTATAGGGAAGCTGAAGATGAGTGCAGAAATCTAAAGGACGAGACTCAAGGACAGGTTTACGAAGAAGGAAAGATTGGGGAAGATGAAGACCAGAGCTAACAGAAAAAAGTGGGAACCCAGTTCGGAAGCGACCTGCAACGGGTCCGCCACAAGAGTATCATGGAGGTGAAGGACCGGTGAAACATCGGGAACGAACTTACCCGCTATCTTGCGGATACGCTTCCAGATCTGGGCCAGAGGGGTTTCGGACGTAATTGTCGAGACATAAGATGCCCAACATTCACGTTTAGCCGTACGGATGGCCCTACGGGCCACCGCACTCGCTTTCCGAAAGAAAAGAAAAGAATCGGTCGTCTGCCTACGGCGGTGCCTCTTCCAGGCTGCACGCTTACAGCGGACAGCCCGAGCACAGTCCGCATTCCACCAGGGAACGCACTTCCGTGGACCCCGAGAGGAAGAGCGAGGAATAGAGCGGAGGGCAGCGTTGAAGACAGGGTCATGAAAAAGGAGGAGAGCGCGAGAGAGAGGCAGAAGGGAGAGGTCAGAGAGTAGCACTGAGGGAAAATAGGGTCCAGTCCTCCTTAGTAAACTGCCACCTAGGGAAAGAGAGGGAAGGGCGAAAAGAGAAAAAGGAAACAAGGATGGGGAAATGATCACTTCCATGGAGGTCATCAAGAACCTGCCACGTGAAATCTAAGTAAAGAGAAGAAGAGCAGAGAGAAAGATCAAGACAAGAAAGGGTGCGAGTCCGAGAGTCCAAATGAGTGGGCTCACCAGAATTCAGAAGAGACAGGGAAGAAGAGAGGAGAAACGGCTCAAGGAGGCGACCCCGGGTATTCGTCAGAACGTCACCCCAAAGAGAATAACGACAATTGAAGTCACCCAGCAGGAGCACAGGCTCCGGCAAGGAGTCTAGGAGGTGTTTCAAATCAGGAAGAGAGAGCGGGACACTCGGGGGGGGGGGGGGGGGAGATAAATGGAACAAACTGTGTACCATTTCCCCACAAAGATACGAGCAGCAGAACAATGGAGAGGCGAAGGAAAAAGTAAAGGAACAAAGGGAACATCAGCCCGAATCAAGAGGGCAGAAGAATTAGAAGCCCCAGCAATGGCTGGGGGGGGGGGGACAAAGGAATAGCCACGAAAACGACCAGGACGAGCACCAAGCATTGGCTCCTGGAGACAGACACAAAGGGGCGAAAACCGCGAAATCAGAAGTTGGAGTTCGAGGAAATTGGCGTAATAACCTCGAACGTTCCATTGAAGAATGGACAACGACGAGAAGAGAAAGGACAAAAACAGAACAAGGAAGAAAAGGCGAAAGAGCAACAGAGCACGTTAAAGAATATCAGGGTCGGGATCAGGGTCAGCAAAGTCAGGGTTAGGGGGCATGGGTAAACTGAGCAAAGACGGAGGGAAGGAAACGGGAGAACAGATCAGAGGTAGGCGGGCAGAGTCCGGAGGAGGAGGAGGAAGAGGAGGAGGAAGGAGGAGACAACGGAGAGGAGCAGTCAAGGACAGCAGCAGGAAGAGGGAGGAGAAAGAGGGGAGCGCACCCCAGCAAGAGCAGCAACCGAAAGGGAAGCAGGGGCCAAAGAAACCTCCATAGCAGGAACAGGGGGCGCAAGCACTGAAACGGGAGGGGAAGGAGCAACAGTGCCAGGAGGAGGAGCCGAGGAAGAAAGTGAAGCCTTCTTACCCGCCGGGGAAGAGGAAGGAGAGGAGCTAGGCTTACGCTTCTGACTTAAAGAGACCGGTGTCCCAGCAACTACGTACCGGGCAACGGATTCCAGTGTCTCAACAGGAGAAGCCGAACGAGAGCACACACGACGGCCGTTAGGAGAGCGATGGACATCCGCCCGCACCGACAGGCGGTGGGGAGAGCCGATAGATGGAGGAAGAGGATGGGAAGGAGGATCGGAGGGGGACGAGGAAGAAGACACGACAGACCGGGTAGAAGGAAGGGGAACCCCCAGACAGAGGACCAGGATCCTTCGGGAGAGAACCCAAAGGGACAGAGGAGGAGGCAGTGGGTGCATCAGGGTCCAAGGCCCGGAAACGGTTGCGAGTCTGAGGAAGGCGGGAAGGACGAGGAGAGGAAGAGTGCAACACGCGAGCCTAAGAGATATTAGCATAAGGCGGGAGCCGGCGAACCTGGCGCCTCGCCTGAGGAAAAGATAAACGCTCCAGGTGCTTCAAGTTGAGGACGGCTGCCTCAAGCTTGTAATGGACACACGCACGGGAGAAGGTAGGATGGGCCTCACCGCAGTTGAGGCAACGAGCCTGGGGAGAAGCGTACTCCGACTTAGAGTGACCTTCGCCACCACACAAAGGACAGAGAGAGACAGTCCCGGAGCAGCGGAGGGCACCATGCCCAAACCTCCAGCACTTGTTGCAGAGCCGAGGAGAAGGAATGTACTCCTGGACAGAGCACCTGGCACCAGCAAGAATGACAGAGGGTCCTACCATCAAAGGTAATCTTCACAACCCGGAGGGGTTGACGGCGACTACCACGAGGGGGACGAGTAAACGTGTCCACCTGGAGAATAGAATGGCCCTGGGCAGCGAGGATATGTCGAATATCGTCGTGGCAGTCGCGCAGGTCCCGGACACCGGTCGCAGCATGGGGCGGGAGCAAAATAGTGCCAACACTGACATTCAACTGAGCGTTCTTCAAGACCATAACGGGGTTCTCGCCAAGGCAGGATAAGGCAGCCAAGCGGGAAGCAGCATCCTGAGAAGGAGCAGCAACGACACGTGTACCGAGAAGAGTGGGGTTGAAAGTAATGGAGGCATCCACGGAATCAATGAGATGTCGATGGAGGGAGAAATCGTCAGGAGGCGCAGAATCAAGAGGGAGGAGATCAAAATATTTGGCCCACGAAGCGGGTCCAAACAAGGCTTGATAGGTAACAGAACTGGAAGGAATCGAGCGAGGGCGGCCGTGACGAGGACGGCGGTGAGAACCCCCAAGAGAGGGGTTAAAAGGCGCAGTAGTTACAACTAGAGAAGGAGCCGCGCCAGGGGACGAGGTAGTCACCACTGGGGGCTTGGGGCTCGACCCAACCACAGAGGAGGGAGGGGAGCCAGGGGAAGGAGTCATGGAGGTCAAAGGAGGAGCAAGGTCGGGGCCCAATGCAGCGGAGGCTACAGAGCCCGGTCTTCCAATACGGACCGACTCGGGGGCTTGGTCGCCCACCCCACGAGCCTGAGAAGGTAAACCAGAAGAAGCCGAAACAGGGGTTATCATCTTGACTAAAAGAAGAATTCATTCACGAATGTGCCCCCACACCCACCATGGAGCCACAATTAGAGGCAGGACACCCAACAAGAAGCTATCGCCGATCTTGTCGGGGCCTCCTAGGGGTGCGTTGTGAGTATACGCCCCACAAACGCCACCTTAAGAAACCGACAGTCCGTCGAGATCGGGTTCAGTGACGAAGTGGGGATTGACAATAAAAGGTTCCCCTCGCTCTCTACGTCGGGTACTGCAGTTCTACGGGTGCAAGAGTATGCCTCCTCAAGCACCCGGGCGTCAAAATAGAAGTCCAAGGGAAGAACCAGAACGAGCAAAAGGTCGGCAGGAAACGGCAAGCAGATAGGAAAAGAGGGGGGAGAAAAACGAAACAGAAGGAAAAGGAAAAGATGCCCAGCAAAATTGGAGAGGATGGCAGCAGGAGCACAAGGCTAGAAAAGGACAGAGGACTGTCCCAAGGAGCATCACACTCCGGCAGCCGCCCACTAAGCCCCCACACGGCGACAACGAGCTGAGCGGGGAGGGGGAAGCAGATAGAAGAGGGGGAGAAAAACGAAACATAAGGAAAATGAAAAGCGATCCGGCACAATTAGAGAAGACAGCAGCAGGAGTGCAAGGCCAGAAAAGGACTGCCCCCCGGAGCATCACACTCCGGCAGCCGTCCACCAAGCCTCCTCACGACGCCAACGGGCCGGATGGGGAGGGAGCATTTAACAGTAATCACTAATTCTGACTTTTACACATTTACAAGCAACATTTGGACGATAAATTTTATTAGTATTCAATTGCATAATACCCTCGAATAAATAAGTTACTATAGCTAAAATAAATGAAATACAATAATATCTACTACAGGTCAAGCCAATCTACGGTTCGTGCCAGGTTGTGGCTGGAGGAGTCTGGTCCAGGTGGTGAAGGGCAACTAGTAATGTTTCTCTTCTGGTTTAAGTTTCACCAGCCGCTCGCTGACGTCCCACAACTTCTTAACCAGCTCCGAGTCCTTGGCCAAGTCGTTGGTTTTGCTTTCCTGATTAAATAAGAAACACTATAGCATTTGGGTAAGAATTAGGAATAGAAAATAGACGGGGGTAGTGTGGGTGCCCAAGTAATTATGATAATATTGGCACCATTGTCCCGAGTGTACATTCCAGACAGGTACACAGGTTAGAGCAGCATTTTTATTCATCCCTTTGTGCAATATTTGAGGATAATTTTAATGTAATTGTTAATTTGTGCACAAGTGAACACGTGTACTCATCAGGAGGAGTGCCCTAGTCTATGTACATTTCACATGGTAAATAGTCCAACACGGCAATCTTCCAGCAAGACCTACTTAAATCCCTCCTGGTTGAAGGACTAGACCAATCCACCACACCCACTGAATAAATCTTTACTAGATACTTGCACCATGCGACACTAGTGCAAGGCAACCGTGCTAATGTTTCTGAAATCTCTCCATTTTTCAAAAACTAGGCTTCAAGATGTAGCCCAAATAATTAGCCCCAACATTAAAATATTCAGACCCCTAGCTCAGGGAAGGTTAACCAGGGGCCAATCTTTTACAGTTTGCCCTTGTTCCCCAGCAGTAAGATACTGGTTGTAATCAGACTGGCATTCATGATCCAGGGAAAACAAGTGCAAGGTTCAACATGGCTAAGGAAAAGTCAACCCTGATAATGCCACTATAGTACACTTGTACCAACCTGTGATGGAAAGGGGAAACAAAGTCTGGTTATTTATTGCTTTTTTATTCAAAGCAACCAAGCCTGTAGGATTATATAGCACACTGTCGCTAGATATTCAAAGGGCACCAAATCTCCTAAAATTGCAATACGTGAACAAAAACGCACATGAAATACTTTAAACCAGATTCGCCTGCGATTCTATCAAGGGAGGAAAACCCGACCATTAGGAAATTGAGAAAGCCATAGTACAGTACCTAAATTCACGTCATTCAATAAGGAGATACACGACTGTGGGAAAACTTAATTTGGGTAATAAGGTGCATTCTATCTGAAGAATGTGATGAACATCTTTTATGACTAGACAAGACGGTCAAAGCCTTTCACCACCGACCATTACTGCACTTCATCCTTCACAGGATGTTAACCCTGAACATCCTGTGAAGGACAGACTATCAAGCACAGTCTGCCAATGACAAATTTACGTTGAAGTCGGGAAAGCAATTTATCAAGAGGGAACTAGACTTTATCCTTACGCAATCAAATGATAGGTTTCAGGGGCACACAAAAGGTAGGTTAAGTTAGTAAATAGAAGTGTTACAAAACACCATCGGCGCACTTGCACCCATATGAAAAGGGTGATGGAGCAGAAGTGAAGAAAATTGTTCAGAGAGTTTTTATAACTGGAAGAGATACCATTTAGAATTGTGGGGGGGGGGTGCCAAAGTCGTGCAAACCTTTGCAAGTACTTCCCTTCATGGCAGTGGCTAAGAATGGAACAGTAATAGGGGAGGGGAACAGATTCTCGCTTGGAAGGTTCCCCTTTAAAAAAAAGTGGTGAAAGGGAAGAGGGCTCACAACAAGGGGCAAGTCAAAATAAGGCAAAATAAGGCCAAAAAAAAGCGTACGCCGCAAGGTACCAACAGCAGTAACTACGATTCTAGACAGGACTGCTGTTTGAGTTTTCAGGCTAAGGGTAGGAGGGAGGAATGGAGGATTAATATGAATTATTGGGAGAAAGCGCCAAGCCATTACTACTAAATAGTAATTTGAGGTAATAAAGATTTGGGATGGGACAGGAGAGGAATGGAAGAAGACTAATGAAGGACATCAGAACAGACAACCCTATACAGTACATTGTAGCATCAAGACAGTCTTAGGAGAGGCAGAGTAAGCAGAAAAAGCAACAGTTTTAAACTGCATGAAAATGCAGGTAGACTTATCAGTTATTCGGGAAGCATGGAACGAGACCAAGTCTAGTAAGGGTTTTAGAGCATTCAGAGGCAATAGATATGGGGGCGACGAAGAAACTAGTGTCGAACGAACCAAAATATAACCAATCTTTAAGGAGAAGGAGACCACCATAGAGCGACAAAGACCATGAACTACTCGCTTCAGAGCAAGTCATAACTCTTGACTGGAGAAGCCATGATTAGTTCTTAGATTGAGGTGGAATCAGCCTCTAACTGAAGCCGTGAGGAATTGGTCGCCTTCGACCAAATAGAAAGATCAAAGGGCCAAGAAACTCTTCGGGGAAGTAAAAAAGATTTAAAGGCAACTTGAGAAGTGCTCGGAACACTAACTCGAGTTCCAAGTTCATATGGTGTTGAGGGGGGGGGGGGGAAGGATTATATTGTGGCAACAAGTCTCAAAATAAACTACAGAACGTTTCTAAGGAAGAATGATTCCCTCCCAAGTCAAAGAACGTGGTTGGCACACTATATTGCATCTAGAGTATCTCAAGCTTCCACCCCCCCCCCCCTTAGGCCCAGCCAATTAGACTGGCAACAAGCGTGTTCTTTGCAACAAAGGTAGTTGTGCTGCAACATTTTAAAAAGAAAAGCAATAAAAAAGGCACCAAATTTTATTACTACCTTTTAGAATGTTAGCTAATAATTAATGAAGATCAGCCATCAGATACTGTAAACAAGACGTCCCGACTAGTCATGTGCTAGGAATATTTGTCTACAACATCGTACGAAAATATTTCGTTAATACAGGCTTTTATTCTAACTTTCGAACCATTTGCAGAATAAACCAATTTGTTTTGCACATTAGCAGCGTCAATATACTAATAATTTGGCAGTTACACCTTGTTAAAGAGAATACTTTCAGTATCTATTCAAACTTCGCTCTAAAAATAGCCCAGCCCTGTGCCTGAACCTATCTAGAGCAAGTCTATTCATACTCAAATCTGACATTTCAGAAGATTTAAAGATATTACCAGAATACTTTTAAACAAATTCCAGAATAGCTATAAACAAGTGCATAGCAATTCTGGTAGATATAAACTACACAATTCGTCAACTTGCCTTACAGTCAACGAAGTACTTCCCACTGACACCGTCTACCTCCTCTGACACTGCCAGGTGAATCAGCGTCTCGGCAGCAAGTTTCGCATCCTTTAAGATAAAAAAAATATTCATTTTGAGTAGTAATAGAACAAGACTGCCTTCACAGACACCCATGTAGGGACCATGTGAGCCACATTTAAGATTGTGCAAGACTTTATAGTTCCAAGTTATTTGTGAAACGGTTAATAGCAGTAAAATAAATACTTTTCCCATAAGCCAGATGGGCCAAGCGGCGAAGTAGCGCAAGAACCAGGGTCCTCCCTCCTTGTGCATGATCTCCGTGGACACAATCCCCGGGTGAACGCTGTTCGCGGTCACACCTGTGTAGTACATGTACACGTAAGCAAGAACCAACACAAACCGGTTCTTCCTCCCCCCCCCCCCCTTAACACTAAATATTCCTTGCCTTGACTAACCTGAGCCATACAGCTTGCGAGAAAGTTCCACAGTGAAGAGGACATTGGCGAGCTTGCTGTCGTTGTAAGAGGCTTCAAATCCAGGGTAAGCTCTCACCTGGTAGTTAAGGTCGTCCGGATTAAGCAACTTGCACGCGAGGTGTTGGTTTGACGTTACATTGACGATCCGGCTTGGAGCACTAGCCTTCAGTAGGCCTTGGGATTAATAAAATAATTAAGATTGTGTGAAGACATTCCATTAGACAAGCGATACTACTTCAATCATTACTGCCTATAATCAGTTATACTAGCGTTACCAGGAGGATTAAACCTTTGGTTTAAACCTTTATTTAAGGGGGGCACCAAAACACCCAAAAATGCAATAAATAGAAACTTGTTAAATTTCAAACATTTTTGGCTAATTTTATAGGAAATTGGGTTCAAATGGGCCAACTCAGCATCGTAGCATATATAGGAGAAAAAATTAATTAAATTAAAATTTTCCAAACTGGTCAAAAATTATCAAATGTCAACTGAAATCATGTCTGACTTGGTTATCACAATAGCATAAATTTTAATATAGGTTCATGATGGGAAAAAGTTATCTGCCAATGAGCACGAATCTTACACCTTACAGAACGCAAGGTTATGTGTAAGGTTACAAATTTGAGGGAATGGGTTAATGTCAAAATAACAGGTGGCAGAATCTTTGCTCTTATTGTCAATTAAGAATTGTTTTCCAATTTATCCAAGTATACATGAAATTTGCACCTTGAAGAGTTATATATAGATATATATAGATATATATAGATATCTATATATATCTATATATATCTATATATATCTATATATATCTATATATATCTATATATATTTTGGGGGAAATTTTACTAGTAAACCTAAAAATTTTGGGTAATCTTTTTAGAAATTATTATATGCTAGAGATACTAGTGTCAGAAATAATTTCAATAATTATCTAAAACCACAAGTTACAAATGAAAAGGTGTAGAATGTTGGAAATAAAAATTCTCCCTTTCCAAAAAATGACCAAGTGTCACCATAGTAACCAACATTGTGCAGCTAACTTTAATATATTAATCAACTGGCAAGCAATAGCCATCACTAAACAGTCTCACTGTTAAGATGGCAATTTGTTCCCATTAAGTGATTACCCATATGAGAGATGTGCAACATTTGAATTTACCTGAAAACGGCCAAACCTTTATATAACTATAGCTTTCTAGAAACTTTTCCAATGCAGATCTGAACTGCATTTATTTCACTAGTCCTAAGGATAAAATTGAAATTTAAAGATATTTAATAGTCAATTTTATGTATTTTTTTTCAATTTCTGAAAAGCAGCTACGTGAAATTATGGGTTTCAATGTTTACTACAGCCATTCCCAGATAGCAACTTTAAAATTTAGCTAAAGTAAATACAAAAAGGAGTCAATTAAGCACACTAATTTTCACGAAAAATTACTGTCATACCAGATTTTCCACAAACATTTAACCCCCCCCCCCACCTTTTAGTCACCTTTTGTGGTTTAAGCCATACATAAACACATTTATAACGATTGTTAACACTTTGCTAAGACACCAGGAACCAAGTTAATAATAGAGCTCGGCAACTATTAGTCAACAGCAGCAAGAAACGGGTAACAAGGATGTATAGTAACTAGGGAGACCGAAGGCCTGCACACTGTTAATGTGCTGCTGCTGCTGCACCACTATGAAGTTGTGATGGTGCCCTGGCAGGCATATAGTGTGTGGACGGTTTGCCCACCCTCCCTGGTCAATGGGGTTTGCCGCTTTACTCGTCAGGGGGTGCGTACGTCTCTGCCCTCCCTGCTGTTGCTGCTTGGCTACGTGTTGATGTGGCGAGCTAGCAATGGGAGGCCATCTTCCCCCCCCCCCCCTCCCCCCCTCTGTTGCGTGTGAACTCCATGGGCCTGGAGTTCACTGGCAGTACTGTATACCCGGAAGTCGAGATAGTTATGCGTGGTGTGCTCCATGCCCCAGTGATGGCCATCTACGGTGTCGAGATGTAACTGCTCATCAGATTATTCTCAAGTTCATGGGGAAGGAGGAATAATGCAACTTCCTCCGACGTTACAAGGGGCGTTCGTTGCCGTTGCCAGATGGTGCCGGCTGTCCATTATGGACCGTAATGGTGCCTTAATGTATGTCTGTGTGCATGGGGCACCCCGAGAGTTTCCCGAAGACCTGCTCCGACATTACTTAAAGGTTTGGAACCATCATCAGTGTACTGGTGAACACGCTCTCCTCAGGGGGGTATGCAGACGAATATTCGTACCCTGGGGATGCTCATGCAGTCAGATATACCATCTTCTGTCCGGCTTATGGGGTACTACGTCCAGGTGTGCCATGCCCGGCAACCCCATAGATGTTTCCGGTGTGGCCTGTTGGAGCATCAGGCTGCTGGGTGCACTGGGGCTCTAGTTGCTTCTGTCAACATGTTCTGGGATGATTTCTCACCGCTCCCTCTGGAGGAAGACTCCGGGGATGAAGAGGCGAGCGTCCCGTTAGCTGATGCGTCCCCCCCCCCCCATCCCCCGTGTCGCCCAACATTCTTCTGGTTGTTGCGAACCCTCCTCTGGGGGTTGCAGTGTAGTCAGATCTTCCTGCTCCTGTCCCCACTGCTCCCGTGGGCTTTCCTGGTGATCACTGCGAGGCGTTGCAGCCTTCCTCTTCTTCAGCTGGCGCGCCTGGCCCTACAGCCTCGCCTCGGGTCCCGGCTGTGCTGGGTAGGCTGCAGAGCCTCCTGTGTGGGGCCCGGTTCTCCCTGTGGTAGATGCTGCTGCCGTTCTGCGTCGATTCGTCCGGCTAGCATTTCCGGGTCCACCTCCAGCTCTGACGATATCCGGCCGGAGCCCAAACGTTCCCGACGTTTGTCTTCTGCCTGGGCCGATGATGGCAACTTCAGCAACTGGGTCTTTGGGTGTCGACGGTGTGGATCCGGATGCGTCACTACATGGTGGTGGTGGCGGAGGTCCTTGTGAGAGACTGGTACACTGCTGGTGCCAGTGTCTGACATGCCTTCTGTTCTTTCTCCACCAAGGGGCTCTCCACACTTGGAGGTGGTGGCTTCTGCTGCCAGAGATAGTGTGGATACTGGTACTGGCCATGGCTTGGTGGTGACTAAAGAAGGATGCGTGCCGTCTGGGTTCCCTGCCGTTGTGTGGCCGTTGCTGCAGATGCCCCTGTGGTGGTGCCTTTTGTCAAGCGTGTTCATGCATTGATGCACATTGGGGGCCCCTAGGGGACATGTTGCCAGTGTTTGCTACCACAGGGTCACTGGAACACGATGGCAGAGTTAGTGCTGGAGTTGCGTGGTGACCACCGGCCAGGTCGGACGCTCCTGAGGTCTCTCCGCACTGGCTAGTGTTTACGTTGGGTGACTGCTGGTTTGCCCTGCTGGTGGTGGTTTGCCACTGACAGGGTGACGTTTGCCTTAGCCATGGGGTCGTCTCGCCTTCCAGTGCAGAGGACATTGTCGGCTGGTCTGGCATTTACGGTGCCGGTGGACCATCCATTGGTTGGTGTCGCCCTGGTGGACGTGCTTCATGTGCAGCTGTCGGACCTGGTGGGCATCCAGCTGCTTCAGAGCCACCGTGCTGTGGTCAAGTTCCGCCTCCAGGCTGCCTTTCAAGCGTTTCTCGAGCGTTGTGAGGGGCGTGTTTACCCTCTCCCTGATTCAGCTGGCTCAGTTAAGGTGGTGAATCTTAGTGTCACCTTGACGTCTGTGGCGGTGCATGGTGCCCCTTCGAATTTCAGGACGACTTTTTAACCTCCTGTTTTGAGCGATTTGGGACAGTGTTAAGTGTTCGTTGGAACAAGGTCGTTGCCGGGCACTGTGTTGGTATGCTTGACGGCTCTCGCACCCTGACAATGTCGCTGAAGTGTAGTGTACCGTCGTCGATGTCCGTGTTGGGATACACGCTCCGCTGCCAGTATCGGGGTCAACCGCGCACCTGTTATCGGTGTGGTCACGAGGGTCATCTGGCTGCGGCGTGCGACGTGGGGGCAACTGGTCGGGTGCATGTTTTTCGTGCGGAGGATTTCCCGCCCTTGTTACGTTCGGACGGTTCTGAGGACGGAGTAGGTGCTGTGCCTGAGGCGCCTGATTGCCTGTCTGCTGCTCCGCCTGTTGAGGCGAATTCTACGGCCTGTGCGACACGTCTGATGACTGCTGTGGCCACTGGGGTTGTTGAGCCGGTGTGTGTGGGTGTCGGGCCGTCGCCTGAGCTGCGAGTAGTGCAGGATGTCCCGGTGGAGGTCCATGTCCCGCCCCCGCCTGTGGATGTGATACCGGCTCCCGGGGACGCGGGTTCTGCTGTTTTAGAGGGGGTGCTTCGGCAGGGGGAGGTGCCTGCCATGCCTGTGTGTGTTGGTGACTGTAGTTCTGCTCTTTCCATCCCTTTGCAGAAGCGCGCGCGTCGGTGTTCTGAGGCTGTTTCCCTGGATGATGTGGACAGTGTGGGTGATGTGGCCTCTGTGGACTCTTCGGACGGTGCGGGTGTGGCCTGTGTGGATGTGAAGATGGTGGCCGTGCCTGCGGCGGGGCCTGCTGGGCGTGGTGTGGTGCGGCCTGTCTCGAAGCGTTCACGGCGGGCTCGGAGTGTCTCTCCCCTTCGTGGTGTGCCTTGGGAGGAGGTGGGGGAGTATGGTGATCTGGCGCCTCCCGCCGAGGATGATGGTGCTGTGAGGGGCTCCGAAGTTGTTACCTGTGCCTCACCTCCTGCGTCTCCTGCTGTTGGATCTCCGCAGTGGGGGGTTGTGCCTGATGATCGTGACCTTGTCGTGCTGTTGCGGAAAGATGTGCGCCAGGGGGCCTCGGCTCCTGTGCCCGGTGGTGGGGTCGGTGCCGCGCCTGCCTCCCCTGCTGTATCCCCTCCTTCCTTGCTCCGGTCTGGGGATTGCCTAGTCCCGTCTGCTGGGGTCGTGCCCTGTGAGGGTCCGGAGTTGGGCCCTTATCGAGATGCCCGGGTGCTTCCGATCCCGTGGTGCTCGTCCACTGTCTGGGTGTCGCGGGTGAAGGAGTTTGTGTATAGGGTGCCAGATAGGATGTCTCAGCCGAGGGCGCCGCCTGGTGGCCGGCTGCCTGCTGACCTGCGGGTGATTTGGGAAGCGTACTGCTTGCGCTTTCCGATACACAAGTTTCCGGAGTAGTATTAGTTTCCCGTCTTGCGCAC